ACAGTGTCACAGTGGTCACCAGGGGTGACGAGAGGAGGTGACAAGGAAGAGCCATTGCTCAGGAGGCACCGTGGAACAGGAGAGGGGGGGGGGGGCGCATAACAGGAAGAATGTAATCAGTGTCACACAGTGGTACGTGTAACGAAAAGTTGCCTTGGCAAATGGCTTGTTACATATCGTTTCACCAGAATTAAAAAAGAAAAAATACACTGAGTAGAAAATAAAAAACAAACCAAAACAAAAAACCCACCCAAGATGGTCGGGGTAGGGTGGGAAGTGTCATCTATCTTCACATTATTAAAAGGAACTCCGATCTCTGGGAGAAAAGCCTGGTGCAAAAGAGAAAGGAAGGAAGCGAAGGAAAAGACCACAGAGAATCACACCGACTCGGTAGCAGACACGGGCAGCCAGCACGGTCTCGTTTATTATAAAGGTACACGGAAGGGCAAACCCGACGACGCGGACGCCTGCGAGGGCACATGCCCAAGTGCACAGTACTCTACGTAAAAGTGCACTGACACAACAGAGGAACAACCTTCGTTTCCTCCAGAACAGGAAAAGCTCCCGCTTGGCCCCGCGAAACAGGCACAGGGGCGGGTGGGCTCGGCCGCACGGCGTGGGGTAGGAGACACAGGAAGGGCGGGCGGGAAAGGCACAGTCAGGGGGACAAGGGAGCCCAGGACCAGAGGGGACAACACTGAGCACCTGGCGCAGGAGGGTGGAGTGGAGAAGTTCTGAGAGCGGGGCTGCAGGGATGGGGCGGGTGGCGCGGGAGGGGTGGGTTGGGCCTTGAAGAATGCAACAGTACAAGAGCAAGGCTAAAACTCCTCTAAAATAGAAAGGCACTTTCACGTGTACATACGACGGATGTACATCGACACGATTAGCTAAGTCACAAGCAGGAAGCTACCAGTACTGCAACTGAGCAAACCGACAGTGAAGGACAATACTGATTTAACTCCGGGGCAGGAGCCACCCACCCGTGACGACGCGTGTAAATAGCAGTTTCTCCATTACAGTCACTTACTAGCCTTTACGTATCTAGAATCACCATCACACTACACATTGAACTTGAATGAATGCTCTACGGAGGAGGCATTCACAAATGCACAGCTTATATATTTTCTTTTACTAAACAGTTTCTAAGGGCAGCATTATGGAACCCAGTACAATGATTTAAACATACAAAATTCGTTACGTAGTTTAAAGATACAGGTACCCATCGCAATTATACCACATAAACTTTTTTTTTTAATTTAAAGAACGTATACTAGGGAAGTGAAAGCTCTGATGGTGTCTTTTACAGATGGGAATGAAGCTGTGCGGGTCACCACAGCCCTGCGTGGCTGGAGGGGGGTTTGCAGCCCAGGGGCTGGTGGGGAGGCGGCGCTGTCTTCATTTATGAGCTGCCCTGTGCTCCGGGCCTTTGGTTCAAGGCAGGACGACGGCCCAAATGTACTTCCTGTGTCCGTGACCTCTCGCTGCTGTGGTCAGGAATGCTTCTCCTCCTACAGTTTTCTAAAGCTACCCACCCACCGGCTTTCACTTTGGATTGCAGAGGCCCGCACTTTCAGGCCAAACTTGCTTCCGTTTGTAGACTCCCCCGTGTAAGGAGACCATCATCTTCCTCAAGCCCTTTCCTTTGCTTTAACTAGCCGCCAGTTTGGGGTCTGGCAAAACTATCAAGCAAGCTCTGAATATGCATCTCTGCCGCTGGAGCTCCATCTCCCGGATAACTGTTTACGGCATGCGGGAGACCAGGTGGGGCTTCTGCGAACTAGTGGATGGCTCGGTAGGCACCCAAATCAGTCCGTCGTGTGAACACGCTCAACAGGGCGAAACATTCTAGGAAACACTCCTAAAAGACGTGTCCTTTTACCTTCTCCTCTTTAGTCCAGCACCCACCTCACTCCCTTGACCGAGACCAGAAGCTGGCTTAGCAAATCTACTTACGTGAGTTCTACGGGTGGGCCGTGAGGATACAGTTGTCAGGTGTGCGCCTATGCTTGTGTACATGGGGTCAGGTGAGTGCTCACATGACACCCCTCTCCCCAAAGGCCCAGGGCCTCTGACCAGGGCCCTGACACTGGGCCCAGGAAAGGCCAACGACTCCTTCTCTCCTTCTGCCTTCCCCAGCCCCTCCTACCGATGGCTATAAAGGAGGCCAGGTACCAGGTGAGCCCACTCACCTGATGCAGCTTTTCGTGACCTTCCCTGTGTTCTTTTGGCCCCTTTGCCAAGGGTCATACTGTCTTACTCCTGGAACTGGAAGACTTACTGAGTCCTTACTAAGCAGTATTCTCCTCGTGGAACTGCCAAAAAGGCAAAAAAAAAAAAAAAAAAAGGCCTCTGGGTGACAACAGTGCGTAGGGAGAGGCTAGATCAGCCCAGGGATGGAGCCCTGCGTGATCGATTGCTTGGGGCTGGTTCCTCTGGGAAGGTACAGCTCTGAGGCTCTGGAGCGGCCTGATTTCTGTCGTCCAGAGCAGCAGCAGAGCCCTGCTTTGGTGGGCATAAGAACAAGCTGCTTTCCATCCTAAACGTAGACCACCAAGACGGGAGACTCGGAGTCTGAAGAGAGGAGCTTGCCAGAGTGAGAGCCACAAAGCTCCAGTTAAAGCTCGTAAAAGGGACAGAGAGTAATACATGAAAACACCTCTGCCCTAATGCTGTTAGCAGCTTACTCTTCTGTCAAACCAGGAAAGCTTTTCAATGTCCTTCCCCCCCTCTACTTTCTACACCTCCCTCGCCTTTCTTACGTCCAAGTGACTCTCTGCTTCTCTCCCCACACTGAGGCGCAGGGAAGCCGAACCCCAGTGGAGTGGGGCGAGAGCAGGGACTCTTGTTTAAAAGGGAAAGTGCTATTTGAAAGATAAGCCTGGTTGTGTCTCTGCAGGGTCTCAATGCGCTGACGGGACAGTAAAGCTCGAGAGAAAAGATAAGGGGTTGGACAAGATGAGCAGGGCCTCTTTTTCAAAATGGTGGGGGCCAGGGGGAGGCAGAAGAAAAGATGGTTCTGAAAATTTATTCATTTAAGTTGACCACACCTGGAAATACTTAAAAATAGACGCACTCTTTAACCCATCTGTGAAATTAGGGCTTGGCCAACAGCCAGCTTTGTGACTTTGAAAGTTAAGTCTATACCTTAATGTCATCTCTTCTTTCAACCTAGAAAACTGAGGTAGCGCTAAAATGATCTTGATTTAAGTAAAAACCCAGATTTCCCCCTGTATGATGCACGTGTCGATGAGCAGGCAGAGCGGAGGCTTATAATGCCCAGGTGCACCTGCAATGACTCCACTGACTGAAACCACGTTCAAGTCATCAAGAGACACGTGGTAGCTAGATGGACATCCCGGACAGTGCTAGAGGGGTTAGTTCTGGGCCATCTCCATCTGCTTTCTTGGGAACTGTCTGATCATCTAGAAATCGGGTGATAGAGCAGGTAAAATGCACAAACATTTACAGCTGAAAAAGCTGCTGCCAACAGGAGAAAGGTCATTTGTACTTTTTGTAGAAGGAGTGGAAAGAGACCTTTGTAAGACAGAGGGAAAACAGCATACATGTTGGCGGGAGAGACATCGCTGATGTCCTAGAACGCCAGAGAGAGAGGCCCCAGTGCAGCTTCAGCTGACCATGTGACCTAGGTAAAGACCACAAGCCCCCAAGAGGTCATGGTTCCTGTGCGCAAAATCAGGGAAGCTCATCCTGGAAGCATGAGGTAATCCTTCAGGTTGGCCGGGCTGTGCTGGCCCAGAGGGACACACAGAGGTGAGCGGGAACTGACTTGAGAATGATAAGGCCTCCACAGGAAGTTTAAAGGAACCAGGCTCATTTATTTAGGAGAAGAGAAGGCTGAGGGAACAGGAGACCTGAATACTACTGGTTCTCCATTGCCACAGATAACATAGGGGGGAGAGAAATATGTTCTAGGCGGTTATTAAACAACAGATTTCTAAAGGAGTTTGTTGAGTAGTGTGACCAGGAAGTCTTTTAATTAGACTCTCTGTTAGAGTTCATGAATTCTGGGGACAGGTTGGAAATCTTCCGGGGGCGGATCAGACTTTCAGAAGCTTTGGGGGAGGGCTGCAACTCTCTCTGGTCCCAGGTTCTGTTTGTGCTGTCCTGGCACCGCTTCCACCCTCATCCATGGAGCCTTCTCCCTGAACCCAGGGGAATTAAAAGTCAGCACCCAGCCCCAGGACCCACGGGGGCAACCACCAGTCTGTAGCATGAGCTGACCGTGCCTCAGAGTGGCTCCCTGGCAGCTCACGAATGCTACTTTCCGTTTTTAGCAACCCCGTGCAAAAGACCCACACTGGTTATACTCAACAAGGCCTGGAGCTTAGATTCTGACATCTTCCCATCTTTACGGACTCTCCCCAACTGGAAACCAAACCCACTGCTGAGGCGATTCCCACTCCCTGTAAGGGACCTTGTAAGGACAGAGTAGAATTGCCCCATAGGGTTTCCAAGGCCATAAATCTTTATGGAAGCAGACAGCCAGAGTTCTCCCATGGGGCAGTTGGTGGGTTTGAACCATCAATCTTTCAGTTCCCAGCCGAACATTTCAATCAGTGTGCCCCAGGGCTCTCTTCTGCCTCCCCGGGGCTACACTACATCTAAAGCCCAGTCAATGCAGAGCGGTGTTGCCTTCTTTACAATTGGTGCAGCATTGGATTTTCAAGTACGTCTAAGTGTTTCTATTGTCTTTAAAACGACATATGTCCAGTTATTAAAAAAAAACAACCAACATTACAAAATACAAATGCCCGTGTTAATTTCTCTAGTCTTAGACAGTACATTTGAGAACATAGAAAAGCCAAAAGATCTCCAGTTAAAAGCACAAACTAATGAAAGCTATGAATTGCTGACTTTTGTCACTAATCCTTTTTTTGTTTTTAAATTGCCGCCTCTGATGACCTTGCTCAGCTGGGTTTTACATGGTGCAAGACTTGTCTGTTGGACCCTGGGCAGGTGGGGCAGGTCCTATGGTAGGGTTTGTTTTTGGAAGAACGGCGGGTTTGGGCCGGAGGGCCGGTGGCTTCAGCTGAACGCCCATTCTGGGTGCCACCACTGGCTTGAAAGTACTCATGGTGTCACTGGAAGAGCTCGTGCTGCGGCGGATCTGCGGCTCGGAGCCCCTGAGGGCCATGCTGTGCAAAGGGCTGAGCGATTCCGTGGACGAAGTCGGAGTCGGAGAGTTTTTCGCCTGCTCCAAGGTATCCAGCACCACGTCAGGGGCATGCTTTGCTGTGCTCTGTCTCTCCAGTTCTCGGAGCTCGTTCAACGCAGTGTTCATCGTATCTTCAATGTCCTGTTGAGAAGCAACCAGAGACGACAGGCTGATGATCATGAACAGGCCAGTGAAGAGTAAGGATATTTGAACTTCATCACCCAAGGGCAGTCTGAACATAATGCCATCTCACATAGCGACTTCAACTCTGAATGTCCAGGGACCACGGTGGAGTGGCTATGAACATTTGTCAATCTCAGCTAGTACGTAAGCTTTAGTACTTTCTACCCTAAGGTGACCAGATTTTAACACTGGTAAAGCGGGACACCATTGATAAAACTCATATCCTGGCGAAATAGCCACATGGCAGCTGAAAACCGTATACCCTAGCTTGTCGTGCATTCTTTCCAAAGATCAGGACTTTTTAAAAACGCCGCAGGATGCGGGAAAAATTGTTAAAAATCGGGACTGTCCTGCTAAAAGCGGGACATCTGGTTACCTCGTTCTACCCGCACGCTGACTTGGTCACATTTTGATGAATGGTAAGAGAGCTTACCTCTAGCTATTACAGCAGTTTTGTAAGAAATGTGCACAGGAATGGAAAAAAATCAGACTTTGATATTCATTCATTCAACAAATGATTTCTGAGCATTTACTACACACTTGACTAACTGCTAGCAGTTTTTAAAAGTATGTTAAGCCTTCTCTCAAGGCCCCTATGAAAATGATACTGCCCCGAGAGGACTTTTACTGCTGGTGGGGTGTATGTGTGTGTTTTAATGTCACGATGACTGGGTGATATGGTTGGCACTAGTAGGTAGACAAAGCCAGAGATACCAGATATCTTGAAAGTGCTCTGGACAGCTTACTGGCAATGAAGAATTGTCATGCACGTTGTTCAACTTTCCTCCACATATTTTTAAGGTAAAACACTGAGCACAGTGTTGAATTTTCCAGGAATGCAACTACTATGTAAATGGAGAGAGAATTAAACTTTGCTTTGATTGAATGATATGAACAGGAGTTTAAAATTTTTTTTTTATTAAACCAGTTTTGAACGTCACATCACTATGGGAACGCTTTATGGAACTAGAATTAAAACCAATCCATACAATGCGCCTGTCAATATGCCGTTTTCATTATTGCCACTTATGATAATTCCACATACAAGTGGAAATATCTATTTCGTGTGTCTTCTAGGCGAGTCATGCCCAAGTATCGACTGAAATGTTTTCCTTAATATTTATTTTCCTTTACATTACATTTAGAGCTTTATATACTTTTCCAAATTATATGTACCAGCTGTGAGTTTATTTCAGTATAGTAAAGGGTAATTACAAAATGGCTCTTTAATAAAAGATGGGATGTTAGGGGAGCCAGCCTGGGCAGGTCTCTACTTATGTTCCTATGGCTCCTTCTACTATCTGGAGCATAACCCTTGCACAGGGCACACCAGTCATGGATGTCTCCATCCATTTTCCCATTGGACTTTGAGGGACTAATGATTTAACTCTGTATCCACTAAGCCCAGGATGGGACCTGGCGTGTGTACAGTAGGTGCTCAGTAAAGGGTTGTTCAGCGAATAGACAGAGCCGTGAATGTTAAGCTGCGGTCTCTAATAAAGAACAAACAGGGATCACATGTGGAACCTGTAATGCTTTAAAAACACCACCAGAGAGTCCATCAACTTATTTAATGAAAGGATCTGCATGGGTTTGTTTGTCCTCTTCCTGAAAGAGCATCATGATGGCATGCTGACCTGTCCTCATGGGAAAATCTGACGGCGAGAGACGGAAAAGAAAGCAAGGGAAAAGCTGCAAGCCACTGGGGGAGGATGACATCACGTGTCGAGTGATGATTTTCATATGTGACCTCTATTTGCCACTAAACATATGGTGTTAAATTAAAAAAACAAACAAATCATGTGTCCCAGAAAGAACATGTGCAGAGCCTGACTGATTAGGTGAGGTCTCACATTTTTATTTTGCAAGACCGACAGAAGAGAAGGGGCTCCTGATTAGGAGAAGCAAGAGGACGAAGGGACCGCCTGCTTTCCCATCCCAAGACCCCGTCCCCTCCTTCCCAAGTCAGGCTCGCCGGCTCGCCACAAGCAGCGGTGGAGGTTTCAAAGTGTTAGGTTCAGCGACAGCTACACATGACTGGGTTTAAGTAAGCCCCAAGATGTCACGTGTAGCGCTTTAAATAGAAATAAGAAGTCACGAGAGAGAAGATGTTTTGCTCTGAAACTGTTGTGCATTTAAAATCAGTTTAATGTAACAAAACAGACAAAACCCATGAAACCCCTCACCCTCTAGCTTATTCCCCAGTTTTAGTCAGGGCAGAGAGCATCATGGGGGCATCTGTCATAGCCAAGCAGGGCTCCGTGGTGCTTCTTATTACACTTCACCCATCTTTCACAGTTTCCTGTGTCTGTTCACTCCTGGGCCGCTCGCCCGGCTGCTCTAGTCGGTTAATTCGTAGGCTGCACGGAGAGGTGGAAGCTGCTTTACAGTCGCTTCAAGTCCCCTGTCACTGGCGGTCAGCGTGCTTTCTGACACTGGCCTACGCTGCCAGAGGAGCCGGAGGGCAAACCGGTAGGGCAATGGTCAAACTCCTCAATACGGTTTCACTACTGCTTTGCCAATCCTAACGCTTAGAAAACGTTACTAAGTCCTGTGCCCAGCCACTGGTGGGAAGTGGTGGCACGTGTGGGCTCACGTGAGGAAGGGTTCAGACTTCTTTTCTTCAAAAGGCTAACTAGCATGTATCACAATACTCAGCATGTTCTAAATCGAAAGTACTGTTTGCATCAAACAAATGTTTTTCTGTTCCTGGACTCTCCATTCTGTCCCCTCATCTGCCTTATTTTTGGAGATTTCTTTTTTTTTTTTAAATCAATTTATTGGGGCTCATACAATTCATCACAATACATAGATCAATTGTGTAAAGCACACCTACACATTTGTTGCCCTCATTATTCCCAAAATTCGCTTTCCTCTTGGGTTCCCGGAATCAGCTCAACCCCCCCCCCCCCCCCCCCCCCCCCCCCCCCCCACCCCCCATGAACCCTCATCTGCCTTATTTACCAGCCTTAGAATCCATTCAAGGCCTGGTAGAACTAGTCTTTCCTTCCTCATGACTAGGCCTCTAGACTTTTCTCTGGGCTCGTTCACAATGGCGAGTTTGAGGGTCTTGGGTCCTCCATTTCTGGCACACCTCTGTTTACATCAACACGACTCCACAATCTTGACTCTTCCAATGGTTCTTCAAAGGAGACCCACAGCTAGACCCTACAGAATGGGCTACTTTCCTTTTGACCCTTCAGTGGGTTCTACCCAAGAAACTTAGCTAGGACAGTGGAAGAGAGCTCCTTCGCCAACAACATTCCACTGGAAGCACTGACCTGAGCAATGGTCTCGGGGTCCAGCGGCTTGTGGTCACTGAAGCCTGGGTACTGCCCCGATGACGTGGACCTTCTAATAGGAGGGCTGTCCATCTTCTTGAGGGAGTCATGCCGACTGATGTTGGTCAGGCTGCCGTGGCCAGGCCGGCGCCTCCTCTCAGGACTGTCGTTGGTGAGGCCACGATTCTGCAGCAAGGCTCGGGGGTGACCGCCCAAGCTTGGGGAGCCCAGGTCAACTGAGGAGTTGGAAAGCGCATGGGGTGGGTGGAGGGGGCAATGGCCATCACTGGTCCTGCCAGGACGCCTTCCTGGAGGGGGAGGCTCTCCTCTCTTCCTTTGCCTAGACCCAGAGAGAGAACACAGGGGAGCTCATCACACTGGGGAGGACTGCAAGGCTGAGGGTCAGGGGTTGCCCAGAGCCCCTGGAGGACTAGACCCCGAGGAGCCTGAATATCCCAGATTCCACTTACCTGGCGAGGTAGCTGTCGGAATGACGGTCTGTTGGGGAGTTCATGTCCTTGGAAGAAGACCTGTCCTCAGTGACTGGCCCGCTGCTGGCCTCACTGTCTGCTTTTTGGCTCAGAGTATCTGAAAATGTATCATCCCTGAAACAATGAGAAGCAGGCGTGAGGGTCTTTTGCTAGAACATGGACAAAAAAGTGAGGGCCTTTACGAGTCCCTGGGCGGTGCAGATGGAAGTGGGAGACTCCAGTCCAGCCAGAGGCACCTCGGAAGAAAGGCCTGGCTCTAAGTGACACCAGGCTCTGACAGCCCATGGGGGTAGAGTTCTGCTCTGACACACATGGGGTTTCCATGGATCAGAACAGACTTGAGGGCAACTGGCGTTTTGGCTTTATTAATGTATCCAAGTCTCTCGTATCACGTACCTTTTTCTTTAATAAAAAAATACAACTTTGCTGCAGAAAAACGAGAAAATTTAAATATACAAACAGTGCAAAAAAAAATCACCTTAAATGCAGCATACTTACTGTATATACTCGTGTATAAGCTGAGTTTTTCGGCACATTTTTAATGCAGTTTTTGTGGTAAAATTAGGTGCCTCGGCTGGTATTCAGGTTGGCTTATACTCGAGTATATATATGGTAATTTGTTTCGATCATCTTCCGATGTCTTTAAATAAAGTTGCAACTAGGGATTTTTTATCAGCAACAAAACAAGACAAAATCTCTGGGGGGCAGTTCTTGTCAGTCCCGGTCCGCCTGCTTGAGGCGAGTAGAGGCCACAGATAGATACCGCGAGAAAAGCCAGGCCGCTTTTGAAATTAGCAGCATCATTTCAGCTTTTGAGCCCATTCTCTGCCCAAGTGATTTTTCTGCCAACCTAAAAAGTTCAAAAGGTGACTCCCGCTCTTTTTCATTCTAAACCTCCTGGCAAGAGTTTGGGAGATGGAAACCTTAAGGCTCCGTCCGCAGGGCGCAGGACTGTGCTCAACTCGGAAGGTGGTTTCTGTGGCCCTCCTGCACTTTTCTCAGGAGACCAAGCTCCTCTTAGGAGCGATCCCTGGCGCTTCCCGTCGGAAAGACTCGGGTGGCCGGGCGGCGCACGGGACGGGCCTACTCACATATCCTGCACCACGATGTACTGGTGAGGCACGAGGCCGTCGATCCCGTTGTGGCGGCCTTCCCACCAGTCCTCGGAGGCGCGGTGATGCAGCAGCAGGGAGGCGCCCTTCTTGAAAGACAGTTCTCTGGCAGACCGTCCAACGTAGTCAAACTTGGCTATTGCTTCTATGGGCTCGCATTCTACAAAGAACAGCCGAGAACATGGTGAGGGGCGGGGTGGGAAGGCAGGCGTGGTACACTGAGGCAGCAGGAGGCTTTCCGCAGAAACAAAGCGATTCCAGTCGCCAGACTGAACATGGCAACAAGCAAAGCGTGCTGGCAGGACAAAGCAGAAAGCATTCTTTCTGTCATCGGTTTCTTGGGCTCCCCCTGACCCCCAAAGGGCAGATTTAAAATTTCTATAACACCTTCCTAGAGATGAAATGTCAGTCTCTCTCTCTCTCACACACACATACATACCACCATCAACAACAAACATGTTAAACTTTGCGATGAGACAGACTCTTTCCTTGGGTTGCAGTATCTTCTACAACTGCTCCAATGTTCTCTTGCTGTTGATGGAGTGGCCCTTGTAGTGTGTTAATGCCATTTATAACACCGAGAAATCACTATTCCAGGACACACACAGAATTTATGCTTTTTTAGCTCGCTTTAAAGAAAATCAGGGTTTCCAAAATCAGCACACTAAAAACTACTCGAATACATTTCACTTCTTCATGCGCTTTTTTTGAGCACCAGCAAAGCCTCAGACCGGCGCCAACAGCAATGACGTTTTCTTTAACATCAGCAGTAACCACGAACCAACCATGTCTTAACTGCCCTCTACCCAAACTAGAAGTCTAGATTAAAAGTTGTACTTTCAGAGATCAAAGGATATTCAAGGGAATTTTATTGAGTGAAAAATCAAAACTCCATATGATTCCATTTATATCACCTTTATGAAATGGCATAATTACAGAGATGGAAAACAGATTGGTGACTGCCAGTGGTTAGGCCTGGGTGGGAGGAGGTGGGTGGGTAGGTGGGGCTGTGAAGGGGTAGACAAGGGCATCCAGTGATAGAACTGCTCTGTATTTTCACTGTGGTGGTGACCACATGTGATAAATGACTTAGAACTAATTACACACAACAAACACGTACTCCAGTACATTCAGGCTGGCGAAACCTGGGTCTGTTTGATGGACTGTATCGATGGCAATATCATGGTACTGTACTTCTATAAGGTATTTTCTTTGGTGAAAAGGCATATGGAATCTCACTGTATTATTTCTTAAAATTGCATGTGAATCTGTAATCATCTCAAAATAAAAATCAGGATAAAAAGGACACAAAACTCTGGAAAAGTAAGAATTGTAGTTTTGCCAAATTCTGAAGGCACATAAATGGCAAATTAAATAAGACAGTGAGAAGAGATGCATTTTGTGAATCAGCTTACTGCAAAGTGCCCTTCAGTCTAGGGTCTGGTAGCCTTTCTGCCCCTCTGTCACATCGAAGGGGTGACTTTATACGTCTACACTTGCAGATGAGGACAGAATCCTGGTTGACTTGAGATGGCAGGTACCAAAACGCACCCATCTCTCCCTAGGGGACGGAAACACCCATGTCCTCAGAACAGGGATGAAGAAAGCAAGCTTTTTGAGGAAGACATGCTGTGAACACAAACCCAGTGACACGCACTTTGTGAGCGCCTTCGTGTCTATGTCCACACGTTTATATTTGGCTTGACTAAACATTTTTACAGATGCCAGCATGGGACATAGTGTGCAACCTACAGACTTGTCCAAAGAAAACACAGAACCATCAGTGTTCTTTAATGTTATTCCACTGCACACATCTGTGTCTGCCAAGGGCTATTGACAATTATTTGATGGACCTATCTATTAACATATCTATATTTATAAAATTACAGTTTCATAATCATGACCTCTATGATGATCATCTTGACATTTTTAAGAAACACTAGTAATGGAATTACTGGGCTCTGTAATTTAAGTCAAATATGGAGAGGTTATGAAAGACTAACTAAATGCATAGAAGTATATTTGATTGGTAATCCTAGTGTATCAGCTAGAAATCCTCAGCATTTTCATTATTTTGCCTCTCTCCACTCCCGTGAGAAGGACTGCACCGTCAAGTCAATCAATAAGCTAGTTACACCGCGCAGTCCAGTCCCTGCAGAGCAGCTGAGCCTCTGGGTGTGGTAACAAACACAGCCCTTTCACAGAGAGCCTCCTAGTCCTTTAAGGTGCTAGGGAGACTTTGTAGAACACTGCTAATAGTATCAATATTAATAGCAAGAGTGTAACAGAGTAAGTTCATTTACCTGGGAGGTTATTATAATTTTGTGCAAAGGGGAAGACAATTTCAGCAGAGACCAACTGCCGACTCCATTCCTTGTCATTTTCTGTGACACTGCAGCACATCAGTTTTCTCTTTGGGACCGTGCTGTCCATTCCCTCCCCGTTCTCTTACCCACTGTCCTCACAGACGGTGGCTTTGTGCTGTGACAGCTTGCCTTTTGGAAACAAAAGCCGCTCCCTCTAGTGATACCATGACAGCGAAAATACAATACACCGGGGTGATCAAAGGGATAATCAATTCTCTAGTTAATTGAGCCAGAGAACTTTGGAGGATGGCTGTGGGCGAGATTATCTGTTTTGTAAGCAAGGCTTTTCTTATCAGCAAAATCAGAAGAATATGTTGTCGAATAACATTCTAATCAAACGGTATCTAATGCGCAAGCAGAGCACGAAGTAAAGCTGCACTCTAGTCCTCAAGAGGTAGGGAACATTGAGTGGTGGCACGGTGGTCAGACTGCTGTCTGGGAAGAGAGATGGCCGGAGCCTTCATCAGCCCCACCAGCGAAAGCCAGGAAAAGCTCAGGGAAGTTGGAGGTGAAAAAGGAATGGACCAGAGAGCGAAACAAAGAACCTCAAGACAACCGAAAGGAAGGTGGGAGAGGGAGGGCTTTGAGACTTTCAAAAGCAATGACACAGACATGAAAGTTTTTACTGTGAGGAGCTTCTTCTACTTTAAGTTTGAAAGTGTTAATTCAGCCTACATTTTTTTTTTTAATTCAGCCTACTTTTAAAGGCACAAGGAAACTTTCTTTTTTTAGTAGCTGGATGGTGGAAACAACAATTTTGATTAGTCTCCACCTGAAATTAACTAAAACTGAAAAAAATTAAGTTGCATTAATGAGCTATTAAGACAGTGATGAATACGTGAAGATCATAAAGAAAAAAAAAGAATGGAAGTGGAACCAAGAGAGGTTAGCAGAACACTAGGACATTTTTTCTGGAGCAAAGTTTTCCATCCTGGCTAATTTATACTGGAGATGCGTCCAGCACTTGCCCCAAAGATCCTACTCAGTGTCAGAAAGAACTAGAACGAGATCTATGATCTAGTCCTCAGAATTCACACATACATATACATGCATGCATACAAACATGCATACACACACTGACAAAGGACTGGGCAGGACAGTACTGTGTTCTGCTGTGCTAAGTGTCAGAACCAAGACAGTGGTACTGACAATACCGTGTGGAAAACGCTCTCTGAGAACCCCCCACATTCCAGTCTGCATGCAAATCTTCAACTTTAAATCATACTGCCTTGGGGGCCTAGAAAATCTCGAACCAGCTTGAATGTGGTCCCAGGCCAAACTAAATAGAAAACTTGGAGAAACTAACCTTCGATTAAGGTCAAGAGGAATTCCCACTGAGAGAATATCTCAGAAATATATGAAAAATAAGCAAAATGCATCAGAAAACAAGATTAAGACCCAATAGAAACAAATCTATAGCGACTTCAAGCTTTAGAATTATCAGGCATATAATCTGACCCATTAGAAAGCATTGACATTCAGGATCAAGCTGAAGAAAATTTAAAACAAATCCAAGAGACCCAAAGTACGACCTTGAGTTTATCCGACCTGAATCTCGAGAATACCTCAAGAATAGATTTGACATATTAAACACTAATGACATAAGACCTGATGATCTGTTGTAGGATACTCAAACCATCATTCATGAAGAAAACAAGAGCTCATTTAAAATACAGGAAAGAAAAGATCAGCACGGATGTCAGAAGAGACTCTGAAACTTGCCCTTAATTGTAGAGCAGTTAAAACAAATGGAAGAAATGATGAAGTCAAAGTGCTGAATAGAAAGTTTCGAGGGCTGGCTCATTATAATAAAACATATAAGGACCTAGAATTAGAAAACCAAAAAGGAAGAACAAGCTCAATCAATATTAAACTGACAGAACTTAAGAAAAAAAATTCAAGGCTCTAGTTGCAATACTGAAAGATTCTAGGCAAAATATTGAATGCTGCAGGAAGCATCCAAAGAAGATGGAGAGAATACAAAGAACCACTGTACCAAAAAGCACTAGCAAACATTCCACCATTTCAGGAGGTAGCATATGAGCAAGAAACAATGGTGCTGAAAGAAGTTCAGGCTGCACCGAATGCAGTATCCCAAAACACAGCTCCATGAATTCTAAATGAAATGTTTTAACAAACTGATGAAGCACATAAAGCACTCTATTGTCCATGCCAGTAAATTTGGAAGACGGCTACTTGGCCAACTGATTGTAAGGGATCCATGTTTGTACCCATTCTGAATAAAGGTGACCCAAGAGAATGCTCAAACTATAGAACAATATCATTGATATCACATGCCAGTAAAATTTTGCTGAAGATCATCCAACAATGATAATAGCAGTACACTGACAAGAAGCTGTCAAAGGTTCAGGCCAGATTCAGTAAAGATGTGGAACAAGGGATACCACTGCTGAGATCAAATGGATCTTGACTGAAAGCAGAGAATACCAGAAAGATGCTTAATTGTGTTTAATGACTGTGCCAAGGCATTACACTGTTTGGATCAAAACAAACTATGGATAACCTGAGAAGAATGGGCACTCCAGAACCCTTCATTGTGCTCGTGTGGAAATTGTACAGGAATAAAGAGTAGCTGTGCAACAGAACAGGGAAGACTGCATGGTTTCAAATCAGGAAAGGTGTGTGACAGGCTTGGATCCTCTCACCATATTTACTCACTACGTATGTGTAACAAATCAACAGAGGAGCTGTATTAAGTGAATAAGAATGTGGCATCAGGGTTGGAGGAAGGCTTATCACAACCTGCAATGTGCAGATGACAACCTTGCTTGCTGAAAGTGAAGAAGACTTGAAGCCCTTGCTGATGAAGATCACGAATTGCAGCCTTCAGTATGGATTACAACTCAATGTAAAGAAGACCACAATCCCCACAACAGGACCCCGCGGTAACATCGTGAGAAATGGAGACGAGGTTGAAGTTCTCAAAGATTTTGCGTTACTTTGCTCCACAATCAATGCTCAAGGAAGCAGCAGTCAAGAGATTAAAAGGTGGAGGGCAATAGGTAAATCTGCTGCAGAAGATCTCTTTAGAGTATTGAAAAGCAAGGAGGTTACTTTGAGGATTAAGGTGGGGCTGACCCAAGCCATGGGATTTTCAAATGCCTCATATGCATGTGAAAGTTGGCCTTTGATTAAAGAAGACCGAAGAATAATCAGTCCATTTGAATTGTGGTGTTGACGAATAATGAAAATACCATGGACTGCTAAAAGGACAAATTGATTTGTCTTGGAAGAAGTACAGCCAGAACACTACTTACAGGGAAATACAGTGAAACTTTATCTTATATACTTTGACTACATTTCAGGAGAAACCAGTCCCTTGTTTGGTGGAGTAGAGGGGCAGTGAAGGAGAGGCTTGGTTAAGTGGAGGCACAGTGAAGGGAGGAAGGTTCTCAAGGTGGTGGACTGACACCTGGCTGCAACAATGGGTTCAGGCACAGGAATTGTGAGGGTGGCCCAAGACAACGCAGTGCTCTGTTCTGTTGTGCTTCAGGTCGCTATGAGTGGGAGCGGACTTGATGGCACCTTAACAACAACTCCAACACCAACGACGACAGAGAGTAATCACAAGGGCATACCATCTTCACTGGTGTGGGGCTCTGTACCAGCATCCTGATCCACTTCTTCCAACGTACCATGCTCACTGTATGGGCTGTCACTGGAGCATGAATGGAAATCCAAATGACAATCAAGTGAGTGGAATTTAAGGGAAAAAAAGAAAGAAAAATTATCACTGAGAAGAAATGGTTAAGTCTTTGTAATGGGCAGAGGTACTGAGCCTCCTTTTCATGGAATGGAATCCTGGAGAATCCAGCTTACCTGGCCCAACAGGAGAGTCTATTTCTATATGTCAGGTTATTTTATAACTTTAACTTATAGAAAGTTATAAAATAACTTTGTCTTATCTATGGAAATACAATTTAGTTGGCTCCTTATGGACTAAAATTAGATCAGTTTTGCAAATCCATCTCCACATTCTTTTACTGCATAGAAACTGAAGTTTCTTTGAGTTTTTTTGAATTAATTATAGCATTTTTTCTCTGGTTCTTTCATCAGTAAGGAATTAAATAAAATCTTTGACACATGTTCATTTTATAACTCTATGAGAGACATAGTTTTATCCTCCTTCAAAATTTATCCTTTCACACTTACATCACCGCTCCATAAATATATGCTGATAAAAGGAATGTATGGGTCACAAATATAAATGTGATATTACTGTAGACCGAATGTATACGGCTTCACTGGGGGCAAGGGTAGCTGCTGTATTTTGACTTTCTTTGTAAAATGAGCAATCCCTGCAGGCGGCCCTAAGGAAGAATGGTCTAATCAGGGACACGTGATTGGCTACAATGCTCTTTATTATTATTATTTATTTTAAGGATTCTCATGAAATCTTTAATGGAGTTGAGGGTGAGAGGGATGAACAGAGTGGGGGCCACAGGGTAGGCTCAGGGGCAGGGGGAGTTTTGGTTTGTTTTTAAAACCCGTTTGGAAAAAGCAGCAGTCACAAATGGATCTAGGGTATAACACCTCATATACTGATCAGCTATCTGCCCAGTGGCTTGTTCATAAAATGAACAGGACAGCAGAGTTTACTAATCTACACTGGATACCGAAATACTACATAGGCCTGAGTACTATGAATGGTTAGGGAACTAAGTTGCTAACTGAAAGAATGGAAGTTTCCAGCCACCCAGAAGCACCTTAGAAGAACAGCTTCTGAAAAGATCTACTTCTGAAAGATTCAGCCACTGAAAACCCCACAGGGCACGGTTCTATTCCGACACAGCCCACGGGTAGGAAGTGACCTGATGGGGACTGGCTGGAATATGTCTCTGACACTAGCCTTGGAAAAAGAAGAGTTGCTCAGCAGGGCTGAGTTTCATTATCTGTCTCCCCTTATGTGTCCCCGGGCAGCACACGTGGTTTGTGCGCTCAGTGACTAACCCAAAGTTGGAGAAGTCACCACTAAAAAACTCGAGAAAAAGCACAGTTATGGAGTGTATTAATTGTTTGTACCACCCAGGCCCATGATAAAATAAAAGGGGCAGAGTTGGACATAAGTTTATAAGAAATTGGACTTGTCCACAGTGTTAGTGTTCTAACTTATCTTAAGTGTTATTAGTTCCCTGGTCCCACCCAACTTTTTAAAATGGGAATAATTTGGTGGCTTGTGGCCAGTTCTTTTTCCTAATTAAGTTGATGTGTATACTTCCATAATTTTTTCAGGGGAGGGACTAAGATTCTTAGACTTACCAGTAGTCATCTCCAGCCATGCATTTTTCGTAAATTGGACCATCCAGCTCTTTAGCATCTGGGAAAATAGTCTCATGGTGGATGATGATGGTTTTGACAATTTCATTCACATGAGCCTGGCACGACACCTGATCCTGTGTATCTGGGACAGGCATCAGTGTTGGGCCAAAGCAGATGGCCAGGTTATAAGCGTCCATCATGTTCTCATCACTGTACTGCGAAAGACTAGGAAAGGAAGCAAGAGAAGACGATGAAGAACAAGGGGGAAATGAGGGCCAATGTCTACTGAGCCTCTCCACACTCGGGAAATACTGATCTGAAACAGTCGCATTTAGTTTTACAATCAGAACAAAATATCCCATCCTACTGTAAATTGGCTCAGTAAGCTCCAAAGAAACCCCCAACACCCCAAGCCCCAAACCCTAAACCCAATATCAAGCAACTTACAGTCTTCCAGCTCGATAAGAAGTGAAAGTGGAATACCAGCACCGTATGCTTAAGATGAAGTGCATTTCCCCAACGTCACGGGGGATTGAACAGTAGCCACAGCGGTGGGGGCCATGATCAAATAAATGAGTGGCACGTGTAAACACTGTAGACAGATTCTAAAAGGCACTCAGGCACCAGGGGTATGAGGGCTGCCAAGAACCATCTTCATAAAGCTTTATGATTATCTATAAAGTTGTTCGACTACTCAAAAATGTTAATTTAAAAAATCAGATTTATTTTCTCCTGTGAATCTTAAAGAGTACTTACAAGAAATCAAAGTGTCATTTCTCTGTAGCCAATAAAAAGGAAGCAAATAGTAACTCTTTGTAAGCTTTATAATCTCCTTTTGGGCATGGCTACCCAAAGGAGGCAACCAGAGTGTCATGAGAGATACTGCGGATGCAAGACAAAGAAAAGGCTCCTGCAGCTGGCAAGGTACACACCTAGGGGCGGTTTCCAGTTTCTAGAACCCATTTCTAAATTCAATCCAATGGGTATTTGTGAGATATTCCTCACAAGCCACTCAAAACCAGCCAGCTCTCAATTGCTCTGCCTTTACCACAAGGGTCGGGGGCTCTTTGAGGAAGATGTTATCGTTCAGCATCTCGAATGTCAGCCTTGAAAGGAAATGTAAAATCCAGGTGAACAGGTGACAATCGGAAGGAGAAAAAGGAGGGACTCAACACTTTGTCAGATGGTGACTGAGACAAAGAGATTAAGCTCTCCCATGGCATGATACACTACCCTTTTTGGGAAATAGGATAGTCCGGACAGGAGGAAATACAAAAGCATAATTTCATCGGCTAACATATGCCTTTTCCTTCTGCCATTTCGCAAACATGCCATCTTAAAAAAACAGCAATGACAGCAAATGATCATGTTACTGATCATCTTGAAAACTGATGTAGGAACAAGTGAATTTCAGAGGAAGCTGGTCTAACTGTCCAAAGGCACAATTTCAGGGGAGGAGTAGCAGTCTGTCTTTCTGACTCTTTAATCTGCTGGCTTCAAAAATACATTACTTGCATATAAAGATTGATACCTAAACTTGGATTTTACAACTTAAAAAGAATAGCCTATTCTCTTACTTCAAAACTCCTGCCCTGAGTGTCCTACTTGAAGGCTGGGTCCTTGTCTCCGGATGAAAGCAGGTATGGGAAGGATCTGATGGCAGAAACATTGGAAGCAGTGCCAACCACATGATTCACAGTGCCTTTGCTATTGTGTCAGGATCCATGGAGAGTTAGATCTTGGTTAGCAGTCTGCTTTCCTAGTCTCTCCAGGAGCTGTGCGGCATAGTGGCCTATGTGCTGGGCTGCTAACCAGCTCTTTTTACTAGCCTGTCTGTAAGCTCCATTGAAAACTGTTCACCAGGGGCCACCCTGCTGGTATTGGAAATGCCAGTAGCCTATCTTCCAGCTTCATAGCAACACAAAAGCCACCATGATATGTTGTCACAAGTTAACAGATGGGCCAGTGAAAAAGAAAGGAAAAAAAACCCCAATTTTGGGGAGGAAGAATGCATGCCAGGACAAGATGACTCCCCCTTTCCCAAGCTTATTTGACAACCCCCGGTTTCTTCATTGCCAACACTGAACTGAGACGCTGGCTGGCAAGGGACTCAGAAAAAACATGGGGCAGAAGGTTGCTTTTATGATGGGGCCTGTGTGCCAGCAAGCAGCACCACTGAAAATCAGGTGGCCTTAAATGAAGAGTATAATTTCTCTGAAAAATCAGTGTAGTATTTTTAAGATTTCTTCTGTTACATTGTTTTGAGATATACCTTCTTCTTCACTCTATTGAATTTGCAAGAATGCTCTTTTTTTTTTGATCTGTGATAAATCTCATCTATAACTGCTCCCTTCCCCCCATCTTCAACATTAAAAACCACATTTTCTGCAGGGAGCAAGTGGTTTTCATAATTCTGACAAAATCATCCACGGCATTAAGTTTGGATGAAAGCTGAGAAATAGGCATTTCATTAGGGGTTCTCTGCCTAGCAAGCTGTGGATCCATTTGGCTCTTTATGGGTAGTTTCTGGGGCAGCGCTGGCATCCCTCATGCCACGACCTTGATCTGCTGAGGAAAGCCATGCCTTCAGCCTCGAGTCACCCACGTTCTCTCTGATGCCGCTGGTAAATGAAACCCAAAGGTACCTGTCACAGGACCCATGAACAAAGAAGCAGTGCAAATGGAATGAGGGTGAGCGTTTGGCAGAGTATTAGATCGCGTACTTACTGATTGAGGAAGGCAAAGAGGTACCTCATCACTATCAGGACCGACCTGGGCAGGGTCAGAAGGAGTTTGCGGATGTGAAGCGCCCTCTCATAGAGATTATCTATTCCTGAGGAAAGAAGACGACATGGTCAGGCTCCTTGTACTGGCCCCGCTTAGTGTAGTACACCTGTCCCAGGAACACACAGAAAGAGGAGCAGCCCGGGGAGACCAGCAGAGTGACTACGTGGTCGGCTGTGTACCACTACTGCTGAGGGTAACCTCTGACCCATCACTGTTTTCACTTCTTTCCATGGTCTTGGCCTTGAATAATGTAGAATTTTCCAGATTTGCAAAACCATTTTGAACTTGCTATTTCTAAAATTTCCATCCGGTAAGGTTTCAACTTTTTGTTGTATATTGACTAGTTTCTTAGGGCATGGCATGTCTAACCATATTCATTAATCCCGCATGTATGTATTTGGGTATTACTATTAAAAATAGTATTTTAATAATATGGTTGCTTTTATTTGTCTTCTTTCACCTTTTTTGTATTTGTATTAAAAAGCTATTAATTAACCAAAACTTATCATTAACTGTGTGTTAATACATATAAATCACTCCATAGTTCAATCATGGGAAGCATAATTGTACAATTGCTACCACAATCAGTTCCCAAATACTGTTTTTATACCTGGCCTCTGTGACATAGTCTCCCTTTAACCCTACCCCTGCAATTGTCCCCCTCCCCCACCCAAACAAAAACAAAGCCTTTATTCTACTTGCTGTCCCTATAGGCTCATTAATTCTGGGCTTCCCTTACCAAAAAACAGAAAAAGATATAACACAATCTCAAGAGGGTGACCCCCAATGACATAACACCTTTGAAATACACCCTAATATGAACAAACAAAACCAAAATAAAACAATGTCTGTCACAGGTTTGCTGGACTAACATATGTTAATATAGCCTATACAGCACTGCTATAATAGGACCATGTTTGTCTGCCCACCAACAGTTTACCCGTCTTGGTACAGCTGTCTTATGCTTTCTCAGACACCATATATTTTCTGACTAATGTTGTCAAGTTACAAGCATGTCTGAGGTAGAGTCCAGTCCAGCCAGTGGAGTTCCAGGGAATCTCACTGGAACATGCTGTGTGCCCCAGGACACACCCAGAAACCCAGGTCAGCGTGACACTCCCTCCCTAGGGCCTCAAAGTATTTTCAGTCATTCTTCCTCCAACTGGAGGTCGGTCCTCCCTCTTGTGTTCCCTCAGATATGTTTGCCCCTCTTCCCCTCTGCTGCATTGTTTTCCCCATCAGTATCCCTCATCTCTCTTGATAGGGCTGTCTACCTGTATGGGGGCACCTCATCATAGATTTACATGGCAACCACTCTGCAGACAACATCCCCTTCCCCTCCCTTGACCACTTGATCCTACCTGAGGTCAGGTGTCCTCTGGCAAAGTGACCTTCAAAACCCTTACCTAGAGGGGATGGTGTCTGGTTCAGTGGCACCAGTCATCCTCTCTACCAGGCTGTTGGACCCTGCAGACAGCAGACTGGATGCCCAACAAGCCCCAGCTTGTTCTCCTTGGTCCTCTGGCAGTGGCCTCAGACAGTATTTGTCCTTTTGTGATTAACTAACTTCACTCAGCATAGTGTCTTCCAGATCCCTCCACATCTTGAGGTGGTTTATGGTTTCATCGCTTTTTTAGGGATGTGTAGTATTCCATTACACGTGTATATACTAGTCTTTTTAATCCACTCTTCTACTGATGAGAATTTAGGCTGTTTCCAGTTTCTTGCTATTGTTCTTTCACTAATTCTTTAAAAAACACTTCTGAAAGCCTACTAAGCTTCAAGCACTGGGCTACACATTAGTGGTGGATCAGTAGATCCCTGCTTTCATACAACTTACAGAACTCCAATGATTAAAGTTATTTACACATCCTGTATTTTCTGTTGGGTGGGAAGAGGGGAGTGCCTAGGGTTTCCAAGTCTTATTTTACTTATTTCAATAAGAATATAAATTGTCTAAAATTTCTTAGTACTCAAGTGTAGGAAAAACCAAGACATTAGTACTACCAGCTCCTTCTTTGTCTAATGGACACATTTTACACCACATTTGTTACTTCATGTGACTAACACTGTGACTAGGCAGGGGAACGCTGTTGACCTCAATTACTGGATTGGGAAACCTTCTTTTAAGGTGAGGTGAAGGCTTACCCAAGATCGGTGGGCTGGCTGGAATGGATGGAGCTGGGGTAAGGCCTTATGTTTTTTTGTTTCACAACTTTGGCTCTCTTTCTTGGAGACCCCTAGTAGTGCTGTGGGTTAGGTGTCAGGCTGCTAATCTCAAGGTCAGCAGTTCAAATCCCCAGCTATCCCCTCAGGAGAAAGATGAGACTGTCTGCTCCTACAAAGATTTATAGTCCCCAAAGCCTATACAGGGTTGCTATGAATTGGAATTAATTCAATGACAGTGGGTTTTTGACATTTGTTCTTCATCTCTCCTTAGATAATCATATATCTTACTTGAAAGAGTCCTAAGCTCCTGACATCATAGTCAATTGATTCTCCGTCCACTTCGCTTTATGATTAAAAAAAGGCCCCCCCAGCCATGAATGTAGTTAACACACAAAGATCTCTACCTTGGTTTGCTTCACTGGCAACCTCATCCATCCTCAAGATTAAGACCATCAACTTCATGAGATGATACATTTGCTTAATTTTATCCCCCTGTGTGAAAGCTTAAGTTTTATTGTTTAGAGCTCAGAAGATCTCATTGCGAATTTCCCAGCTCAAGCCTTCTTTCTAATCTGGACCATCATTCATACCATTCTTGCTTCATTGCTGAAACACCAAATACTTTATTAGCAATATCATCAGGATTCCTGGGCAAACATCACATCCATTCCCACCTCTGAGTATGGCATAGTGTGAATTGTACCCCTGCCATCTTTTGGAAATGGGATTTCAGAAATTCTAACCATAACATAAATGAAACAATAACTATCATGCAGTCAATATTCCTGTAACATTTTGCTCTTCCAATAAAAACATAATTAACAATAGTGTGATTTAAGTAAACACATTTCTATTATTTCTACTTGGAAAATATTTAAAGATTAAAGAATAAAAACAAAACAGTAACATTGTGAACAAGGTCGGTTAGTAACATCCATGGAGTAGAAGTACCTTATTTAATAGCCTTTCCAGGCAGGGATCTTGAGGGATTTTTTTTTTTTTT